GCTCAAATTTGGTCAGGAAACGGCTGCCTAGAACCAGATACTGGTCGTGGAAACCAATGTATACTGACTTTCAAAGATGATGCCTGCTGTATTGCTATCGGAGACAGTTTTTTATGCGTTTTTTGCAGCTATGCAATGCAGAAAACGCATATTGACTAGAGGTTGTCTGTGTGTCCGTGCATGCGTCTGTTAAGGTTTTTTATCTCAAAACCTACAAAAGCTACAGGGCTGAAACTTCGGGAACTTAATTTGTATGGACCCTAATCCCCAAAATGGACGCCATTACCCGCGTGGTACCCGCGTACGGGTCTGCCAAAATTTTTTTCGGGTAAGTTCATAACTGGGGGATCTGAGAAGCTAGAAAGCTAAAATCTTAGAGGAATGTTCCCCGTCCAAGTGAGTATTAGTGAGCTAAAACCCAGCCCCCGAGTAAGCGTGGTACCTACATACGGGCCCGCCAAAATTTTTTTCGGGTAAGTTGATAACTCGATTACCTGAGAAGCTAAAGGACTGCAATTTTAAGAGGATTTGCCCCGTCCACCTAAGTTTCATTCATCTCAAACCTAACTCTCGGGTATGCGTGGTAGGCACGCACGGGCCTGTGAATATTTTTTTCCAGTAAGTTGCTAACTCAGAAGCCAGGGAAGCTAGAAAGCTGAAATTTTAAGGGGTGTTTTCTGACAGTTCTGGCGGCTAGTCTTTATTTGTTTTGCTAGAAGCATTTGCTGAAAAAGCCGGTGCCGATAGCAACAAAAAAATGCGGGGAAGTATGCAAAAAACGCATCTTCGCACGGGCAGCCCGTGCGTTGGCCAATTATCTTTTCCCGAGAAGCCTGTCGTTATAGATGTATTAATTAAACACCTTGATTTGCTGTAGTTTCATGGTAATTTCTAAGAAGCAAAATTTGAGACTACAGCCACCAAAAATACCATTATTGCTCGAACAGTCGATCTGAGAATCTTGCGCTGTTGTTAATCGGACATCATGCGCAACTATGCCAGGCTTCTGATCTCTAGTTCCATACCTCAAGTCACCGCTTGAGCAGTGCAGTAAAGTATTACCAGTGCTCTCAGCAACCTCTGAAATTCTACTTTGCTTTCATTTTTATGCATTTTGTGCTGTGTAACAGCAGTACAAAACGCATATTGTCACAGGGCTGTCTGTGTGTGTTTGTTTATTTGTGTCCGCAGCAACTTGTCCGCAACTTTCAACTCGGGAACCACAGAAGCTAGGAAGCTGAAAATTTTGGGGAACGTTACCCACCTACGTGCGACCACGCAAATTTAAATTCAGCTTCCCCGTACCCGCGGGTAACACGTACGGCCCCGTGAAAGTTTTTACGGGTAAATTATTATCTCGGGAACCACAGAGTCCAGGGAGCTGAAATTTTAGGGTAATGACCCCCTGCCCACGCTTAACCTTGCCCATTCCAGTTCA